ATTTTGAATTTTAAGTAATATGCATCAATAAATAGTTTTTAATACATAAAAAATAATTTTTAAAATTTTTTATTAAATATTTTATATTATATTATAGCATAGATATTAAATAAAAACGATAATGAAGGTGGATATAATAATGCATGAACATGGAAGCCCACCAAACATGAACAACCATTCACATCAATAATTGTATGTCGACATGATGTCCATTTATTACCAAAGTCTTTTTTTAATTTTATATAAAAATTAGTTATATTTTTCGTGAGTAAACTACGTTTTCGGTCCTTATGGTTTGTTGAAATTTCCCATTTTCGTCCTTATATTATTAAAAATATGGTTTTTGTCTTTATGGTTTATGGTTCATTGTTTTTTTTCGTCTCTATAGTTTATGATTAGCTATTTTATTCGCTCATTTGATTTACAATTATCATCCCTTTCATCTAACAGTAAATTATCGAGTAATTAGTCTCGTGAATGAAAAAAAACTATGAATTACAAATCACATGGATGAAAATCATACTTTCATACGCATAAAAACATAAACCACTTGTGAAATAACCTTATAATTTACGTACATTAGAGGACAACTCTCGATACAAAAATGTGACATTCATATGAGTTACAAAGTTACGAGATAAGTTTCATGGATTTGTGACTTGGAAATCATGTTCATCAAAGTAGGCGACTTAAAGGCGAATATGAAGTTGTGTTGGTTAGCGCTTGTTCAAGGGTTTTGCATAGACCAAGTGATTTTTATAGTGTTCTAACACATCTTACTTTTTTTCTTCTCTGTCTAAAGTAAGTGTTTTGGTGAATATGTGATTTCATAAAAGTTTGATTGTTTCATAATATAAAATATTGATCACAATTAATAAATAAATATTCAAAATCATAATAAATGAACGTTGATCATTTAAATAAATATCTTAATTGATTGGATTGTATAAATGAATGGTTACATTTTATAAATTTTATTTGAAAGAAAGAAATGGAGCAAATAAAAAGAAACCTGTGGCATTGTCTGATGACACCTATTCCTTGGTAAAGAAAAAAAGATCCCACCATCCATGAAACAAAAATTTCCCATTTGACACAAGATTGGGAGCAAGGGTTTGTGTTCGTTATTCTTTTCTCCATTCAACAAACCTTCTCATTCCCTTTTGATTTGACCCCTTCTTCTTTGATTCCTTCTGCTTTTTAAATCTGTTGAAACCCACAACAACTGCTTCTTGATCCATTCATTGTTGATTAGTATGATTGATTTTTAGTGCAAAATCTTGGGTTCGAGCTTAAACCCATTGAAAAAGACTCGTCTTTTTTGAAGAAATCGAAACGGGTTTATGATAATTTGAGGTGGGTTCTTCGAGCTGTGTTTTAATGGCGGATGACGAACTGGTTGAAGTCAAATTTAGGTTAGCTGATGGCAGTGATATTGGACCAAGCAAATACACTTCTGTTACAACTGTTGGATCTTTGAAAGACAAAATTATTTCACAATGGCCCAAAGGTAATTCATCATCATCATCATCATCATCATGTTTCTTGATTTTTATTTTATTCAAGTCTTGATGCTTTGTTAATTTAAAGTTATGGATATCTTGATGTTGTTATTTTGGGGGATTTTCCTTTTTGTTGAATTTCTTTTTGACAAAATGATTATCAATTGATGCTTAACTAACCATCTAAAATTGAATTGGGATTTACATGTTGGTGTGCTCATCTTCTAATTCCATTTTCATGACTTCAATTTTTTATATTAACCTGGGATATCCAACCCGCTATGATATCCGACTAATCCCAGGAGACCACTGCTTTGCAGATAGCCCGGAGTCGAAACATTTGAACCTCCATGGCCATAAAGGAATTTTTATTCCTCCTTGGAGTTGAACCTGAGACCTCCTCCAGGTATTTGACCTTTGGAGCCAAGCTCAAACCAATCAGACACCACCCTTGTGGTTAAAAATCATTAAATTGAAGTTTTGCCAGAATTGTTTGAATATCAGGCAAATGTTTGTGATGTTAGTATAAAAATCACACATACACAGTAGTGATCACAAGAATCTGAAAGTCTAACAATGTATTTATGTGAAAATTTGCTTATATCCATAGAGGATTTTATGGTAAATTTTACAGTAATACCCTTTCGAACAACTTCCATAGCCATTTTCTTATAAAATTTAGGCCAGTGAATGAGGCTTCATACCCAACAACAGGTAGGTTAAGTTTTAGAGATGATAATGGGCAAAAATATGTAATTTTAGCCTGAAAATTGCTAGTGATTTTAGCTTATGTTTATGGAAATCTTTGCATGTTTTTTGACAGACAAAGAAAATGGTCCGAAGACGATAAATGATGTGAAGCTCATCAATGCCGGAAAGATACTGGAAAACAACAAAACTCTTGGTGAATCAAGATCTACGGTCAGTGAAATCCCGGGGGGTGTTATCACTATGCATGTTGTTGTGCGTCCTCCGATGGCCGATAAAAACAGTGGTAACCGTTAATTCATGTTTATGATCTTAAGCATTGGTTACATAGATTCTTTATAGAGTATGATTTCAAGATTGTGATATGATGCATAGTTCAGTTTTGACATCCAACGTGAACCACCCCTGGTCGGTAATCTGAAAGGACAATAGGGGTTGTTTGGTAATTGCTGAATGGTTTGGTGCAGAATAATTAAGTGGGCAGAATGATCAAGAAGCTCTCATGATATAGTGTAAAATGAAATATAATTGTTTGGTAATTGTGTTCAATGAAATTAGGGCTCTTAATGGTTAAGGGAGATCCATGATACAAAATCATTCGGAGGGTTTTAGAACCATTAAGAGGCAGTCTTTGTTTTTGCCAAACAAGATTAACCTTTTAACGATTCACCTCTTAATGGAACTATTAAGAGGTAAACAAACAACCCCTAAAATCATTACTTACATTTCATATAAGAAATGATATTTCATATAAGTAATGATTTTTAGGGATTACACAAAGTATGCCAATCTTTTGTTTTCTTAGTATGTAAGTAAACTTTAGACTATTCTCTATGATTTCGTGAGGATATGACGTCTGATAGGAGTTGGTGGACCAATAGATTTTATAAGAAGGGGGTTAGGGGTGACGGATGTGTGCTTTTTTCCTTTCCCTCGATCCCTTTTTTAGGTGGGTATCACAGAAACAACTGTTTTACCTTTCCGACCAGAGGATAGAGACCCTACTTTCACGTGAGATATAAATACTGGGTTTTTCTGGTTGCTCTTTAAGATTGTAGTCCAGTGTTGGTGGTACAGTTTGACTTTCTTGATATTCAAACAAATTTATGGATGTAATTTGTTTGACACGTTCTTAACAGTTTTGCCTCTGGATTTTGTACAGAAAAGTTGCAACCGAAGAAGAGCGGTTGTTCTTGCACAATCCTATGAAGTTTATACATACAATCAGGAGTTTTTGGATCAAGTCGAAGGAATCTTGAGGATGCATTTATCGTCGTTACAAATTTGCTTCGAAAGAAAATACAATTTTATGTTTGTATATGAATATATATATATATAGAGAGAGAGAGATGAAAAAGTAAGAAATTTCAACATTTGATTCAATTTGTGATATTATATTTTGGTTTTTTGCCTGGTGGTATCTGGATCTTTACGAGATTTAAACCTCATCAAAGATAAGAAAAACGTGTGTTTTTATTTATCGTAAATACGATCGAGGATTACCTAAGATCAACATGGCTATTCAAGTAATACCGTTTACTTAACAAGTAAGATATAGTTTACATTTACAAAGTATGGATATAAATAATAATAAAAAAAAATACTATAAGAATTTATGAATATTTATGATATATTCATGATGATGAATATTTATATTGATAAACATCACAATAAATAATATTTATGTATAATCATCGTAGATGATAAAAATTTCTGTATCAAACGGAAACTTGATATTTGAATTCAGTTTTAATTAGAAAATCCCGGAGTTTAAAAACAAGATAACCCCTCGGGTCCCTAAACCTAAACTCAAACTCGACGCTACTTACAAATAATAAATTATATATATAGGGATGAAATCGAAGGAAAACCAACAAAAAAACGGAAAAAACAAATGAAAATGAAAATTGATGAGGATTTGTAATTTTCATTACTATCAATTGAATCCAAGGTAGTTGAAAATGTCTGCATTCTTTTATTTGTTAGATCAAAAAATATGTATTTTAGGAATGACAACAAGTCGGGTTCGGGCCAGTTATTGGTATCCTCGTCCTCGAAATCGATAACTAAAACCACCCCGATCCCCATTCGGGATCTTATCGAGGATTCCCATCGGGTCCCTGCGGTTTCCCTGATCTCGATTGGGGAACCCGTTAAAAGTAAAAATCCTTTTTCCCATTCACCGTTGGTTTTAATCGAACCGGAACCCGAAACCGATCTATAAAAAATTACAATATGTTAATTTTCACAACTAAAAGTATATTACGATTTTGTTAAAGATGTAAGTTTAAATGTCTCAAACATAATTGAACTAATTACAAACAATGTATTAGATTACAATATAAAACTAAACAGAAATGCAAACATCATACAACTAAAATCACGATTTCACGATTAGACAAATAAACTAGATTTTTTTCGTGATATTTATTTGGGTTGTTGAGGTAAAGTGGATAAAAGTCTTTTAAATTTTAATGATATATATATATATATATAAATTAAAATTAATAATATATACACATATCAGGCCGGACCGGTGATCACTGTCCCCGTTAAAATCCCCGAATTTGCCCCCGATCTCCGCCCCTCCCTAATAAGATGTTCTCGAACCCGGTCCAAAAATTTTGATTTTCAGTTTTCACCATTGGTTTCGTTTTTTTTTTTGCCATCCCTAATATATTCATCCAATAACTTAAATTATTTTATGCTTACACATAAATTCCCGATTAAACCGGATTCACATATTGGTTTCGTAATTGTTGTATGGTACTGGTATTAGCCTATCAGGGACACAAGAAGGGTTTTACAAACCCAAATTATTCAGAAAAGCCCAATTTCACACTGTCGTCTCACCTGCTCCGCTCCGACCACGGTGCTCCGGCGCTCCTCAGCCCCTCAGCACCTCAGCAGGTAATTCGTTGTTTTCTTTTTCATTAATTTTTAGGTAAATATTAAACCCTAGTTATTAGATAGATTAGTTGAATACTTCATATTGGCAGACGTCTTCTTGATAATCTCCTTTAGTTTCTGAGAATGAGCTTATGGATATACCCACTAACTGCTTGCTTTCACTTACTTTTTTCGTTTCTTGGTTCATTATTCATCAAGGTACTGAATCTCTGTTGTTTTTGTTCTTAATATGTGTTTCTTTATGCGATTGGTTGATTGAAATTGGTACGTGTGTTTCTCATGGTTTTCTGTTTCGTCCTCTTGATTTCTGATTTGAAAATCATTTGAGAATGATGAGACGTCAAGCTATTGCTTTCCATAACTTGATTCATAGTAGCTACTCCAGAAACCCAAACCCTAGTTGATTTCTATTTTCTATTTCTGCGGAGCTCTGCTCCAAAGAACCTCAAGGCAATCTCGAATTAGGCTCAAGTTTTAGTGAATTCACGCATATTAGGCCTTCCTACACTGTTTGTGCTTAGTTAGATATGCCTACCATATTTTTGTTATATATATATAGATAGATATGTGTGTGATACTGGTATTCTTTGTGTTGTCACTGGAACCCGGAAAAGGGAGCAAGATTTGGACATGTAAGCTATACTATTAATGTTGACTGTTGATAAATAAACTCCAAGTTGCCACTGTTAGAAAAGAAGAAATGCCACGTATATAGAGTCTGCTACATTACCTTAGATCTCTATGTTTAAAGAGAAAATTACGTTATTTGGAGTTGAAAAAATGTATACTACGATAATGCACCCATACACTTCTTTTGGAAATGATTAACAAGAAATATTTGACTAAATGCCCACAAAATCACATTCAGGTCCTAAAGTGCATCGCCCAGTCAATTCTCAGGGACACATCAGTTGTCAATAGGCAAGATTACCACATGGCAAAACATGAAAGTAACAGTCAATTATTTAATTAGAGAAGATGGCAAAACATGAAAGTAAGAGTCAATTATTTAATTAGAGAATATGGCAAAACATGAAAACTAAATTTTCTTTCTTCTTTTTATAACACTGAACACAAAATGTTGGATAAAGGTTCCAAATGGGAAAGGGTTAAGTTAGAAATTTCTTCAGTGTTTGCTTATATATCGATATATTTGTGTTAAAATTAACGTGTTTAAGTTGCGCAACATTAACTCATTGCTTATTATATATTTGTTGGTAACGGTTAAAGGATTATATGTTCTGTAAAGAAAATCTCAATTTCGACCGCAACTAAATGACTCTGTTTCTGTCCCTCCACTTCTCACTTTCGTCTCTGTTTTCTCTTTTTGAAATCTTGATTAGGACTGATAAATGGAGCTACTATCATCCCCATCTCTCAGTTCATATTGCTCCTTCACCTGCAGACAGTCCACTTCTACCTCCAGAGAATGGTCTCCCTCTTTCATCAGAATCCCAAACAGAAAATCACAATTGTCAGGTGGTAAGTTGGAATCGCCTTTGATTGTTTGCTAAATTTGAAATGTGGGTTTTGTTTAGTTAATTAAGCTCTCTTGATGACCGGTGGGATTTTGTTATCAAATGAGATGAAATTGAATTTGTTCGAATTGATCTTATTACTAATTTTTTATCAGCAAAATTTTCTCATATTCTTGTAGCTTCACAAATTCAACCAAGTTGTAAGCATTTCCTTTTTTTTTGAAAAAAGATTGGAATCCATGACAACAATGCCAAAAACCAACACTAATCCATGTGATGATAGCAAATATGGTCAGATAAGAGGATGCCTATGCTACCTCATATGCAGGTGGTCGTCTTCTCAGATTCTGGTGGTTTTCATTTCAGTGATTGATTCACACTCGCTCAGGAGAATTATGCATGTTTTTCTTCTGTGTTTTGGTCATATCAGTTCTATGCCATTTCATTCGGTTGCGTTATTTTTCTATGAATGTCGTGGTTTATCTTTTCTGCTTGTTATGTTCATCAATGTTCCTGGTGCTTGCAACCTGTGTCTGGAATCCATTGCCTAAAACAGCTGTGTGCTTTGATTGTGTTGGGTTCAATTTCGACTCATTGCCACCACCTCACCATTGAATTTGGTCCCGTTTTGGTTGGGGTTGTAGGTTTTGAATCTCCCTTTGTTGAGAGCTTCCTTACTATCCTGAGGGTATCAATCAGGTTCCTAGGCTGCTTGGTTTTTGATTTAAGGGCTATGTTAAAAAGTCAAGGGCTTTTTGCAAGTGTATATTTCAAGTATTGGATCTCTTTGAATCCTCGATCAATACAATCCAATTTTCGCCGAAGAGCCTTTGTAGTAGTAAGTAGTTGAGGTGCAATTGTACTTTCGCCAGATAGCCTACTTATTTTGTACAGAGAGTTATTGTATCACAAAAATAGCTACAAGTATGTCAGTCCAAACTAGCTGAGAAAGACTTGAGATTTTTTTTCAACCAAGGTTTGTTTAATTCTGCCACAACATGCCTATCTAAGTCTACAATGAATAGGAATATCTAATTCAAATAATTGGTCTGTATGCAAATTCTTGTTGATGTTATTTGCCTAAAAGTTCTTCTTTGAGAGTCTCTTTTTATTGTTAAAAAGGAAATGTCTCTGAACCCTCCTCCTTGGCTTTATGAGGGTTAGGGAGAGAAATCCTTGTAGATTATCAGTAACGGTAGTGCTTTATGACTGGAAGGGGAAGGATTCAAGTCATGAAAACTAAGGCAGGGGAGATGCAAAACTGGTGTTGCTATAGCTTTCAGCTAAACAGCTCTTGGATTATATTCTAGAGAGCTTTATAATGTGTGTATATTCATTAGAAGAATTATTTTTTATATCTTTTGTGAAAGCGTTTTGGTGGGTATCTCTTCAAATAATGGTACAAGGCTTTGAAATGTTTACAGGCCTTAAGTTGACTTCAGAAAGGTTGCGACCATCTAATTTTACAGTTGAAGCTGTTGTTGGTGATGCAACTGCTGTACCAAATGATTCTACCACAGATCATGTGTCAATTAATGAACAAGCTTACCCAAGAGCTAATTCTGAAAGTGGTGAAGAGAATGGCGATGACTCAGCTGACCCTAAAATGGTTCGAATTAGTGACAAGCTGATCGAGGTTTTCATGGTTGACAAACCTAATCCTATTGACTGGAGAAGGTTGTTAGCTTTTAGCAAGGAATGGAACACTATTCGACCTCATTTCTTTGAAAGATGTCAAGATCGGGCAGATAAAGAAGATGACCCGGGGATGAAGCACAAGCTACTGCGGCTTGGAAGAAAGTTGAAAGAGGTATCTGAATTTAGTTAATGGCAATGCTATTGCTTGTTAATGCTGCCCGTTACAATTGTTTCAGTAAACTCATGGACTCCCCCCATCTTCTCTATGTTGGAGATCTTAAATCATTCCTCTTTCATCCCATGAAAAATTAAATCAAATTCCTAATTTTCGGATGTCCTACGAATATTGCAAATTTCTTTTTTAGTAAAATTTAGCATTACATATTTTTCTTTGTCGTCCTCACAAACTAGTTCCTTTTTTGTTTGGTCTATGTGCTCCTGCTACTTATCACCATTAAAGGGCATATAGGATATTTGACACTTCCGTTAAACTATGTCCTACAAAATATTGCAATTGTCATGGGATGTAGGGAGTATCTTGTCTTGTCTTTTCTTTTCAGCCTCTGCTTATTGCTGGCACTCTGTTATGTTGGATTTCACTTGTTTGTTTCCAGTGATTACGTAAATGAATCATGTATATCTCTTGGGCAGGTTGATGAAGATGTGCAAAGACATAATGAACTTCTTCAAGTTGTCAAAAATGCTCCTTCTGAGATTGGTGATATTGTCGCCAGGCGACGTAAGGATTTCACGAAAGAGTTCTTTATGCATCTACATGCAGTTGCAGAATCTTATCATGATAACGAGGTAGAACAAAATGGTGAGACTCGGTTCATTGTGTTTCCATTAATTCCTTTTATTCTAATTCTTGTGGTCTCCTTACATTCAAGATTATGACAGATATATTCCAGTTTTAATACCCCTTTGCTAAATAAATGCAACAGTTGATTCTGAAAAAAATTCAATTTAGCATGAAGTCACAACTAATAAATTGATTTAGATGAAACGTCTGATTAATCTTTTGGATAATGTGCTATAATAGCTAGCGTTGTTGTTGATACATGTTTATTTTGTATGGGTAGCGATTGCAAAACTTGGGAACACATGCTTGGCTGCTGTACAAGCTTATGATACTGCAACTGAAAGCATTGAAGCGATCAATGCTGCAGAGTTAAAATTTCAGGATCTTATCAATTCTCCTTCTGTTGATGCTGCTTGTAGAAAGATTGATAATCTGGCTGAGAAAAATCAACTAGATTCAGCCTTAGTTTTGATGATTACTAAAGCTTGGTCAGCTGCAAAGGAGACAAACATGATGAAAGATGAGGTAAAGTAACGACTAGTCTCTTAGGTTTCTACGCTACATATATGTTTGTTTATCCAAGTTCAAATGAGTAATTACTTAATGGGACTGTAGGGTTTTAAAATGATTTGTAACCATTTAAACGTAGCGAAAAATTATTTTTTGGTTAAAGATAATTAGAAAACTTTGCTAAAACTTAAAACCTATAGCCGGATCCAGTTACAATTAAAAACAAATCTAAACAATCATAGGGTATTTAGAGGGTTACCTTTCAGATCTTGCTGGGGGCACTTAGAAACCAAACCAGGTTTCCTCTACAGGTAGTCCACACACTAACACGCTTTTGGCCCCTATCGGGTGCTAGCCCAAAAGCCCTAGATTTATATGTGTTTAACAGAAAAGAAAAGGTTTCTTTTATGTTTTTCTCTGATGGATAAAATCTAAAAGGATTGAATCCTATTCATTTAATTTAGCAATTATCTGTAATATAAGTGTGTGTGTGTGTGTGTGTATATATATATATATTTATTTATTTACAGATAACACCCTGTAATTATCATAATTACATTTTAACACATATTTTCATAATTATCCTCCAAGAATAATTGCTTCAATCAATCAACATGAGTTAACATGGGTTTCTGAAAATAGAGGCAAACATATTCTTTTGTGTGCGGCCCTGTTGGTTTACATACTCGTTGGCAGTGTTACTGTGTGACATGTGCTGTGGGCATATGATAACTTATAGGGACCAAAGCCAATATGTGTCGTATCCGATAGAATAGGAACACATCACTTTGTTGTGGCTAGACCCTGCAAAAGATCGAACCCTGTTTCATGCTTTATTTTGATGAATTGTTTCGTGTTTGTTATGTGGGTTACAACAGGTGAAAGATATATTGTATCATCTGTACATGACAGCAAGAGGTAACCTTCAAAGGCTTATGCCAAAAGAGGTGCGGATTGTTAAATATCTTCTTACAATCGAAGATCCTGAAAGGTTGTTATGTGCATTGAAAGATGCATTCACCCCTGGTGATGAGCTCGAAGGGAAGGATTTTGATAACCTATACACGTAAGTAGTAGATTCTTTTGTTTTTGGTTTTTCTCCTCTAGCCCAAATTTAATTAGGTCTTGAAGTGAAGATGGAAGAATATGATAATAGTGTAGAAGGTTAGGTTCCAAGGAAAACCGCAAGGAAATGTAAAACCGAAGAACGCTCTGGTAACAGTTCATCTGGACGATCTGCACATGTGCATACGAGTAATTTGTGAGCAATTTGTCCGGTATATGCAGGTGCATAAAAACCAAGAAACAACTTCAATTACTTGTATGCACATGTGCATATCGTATAAAACAATTATTAGGATGTTCCTCTGTTTTTCAATTTTTTGAGGGTTTCCCCCCGAACCTCACTCTAGTGTAGAAAGCGAATAAGTTATATGAGTTTTGTAGGACACCGGAGAAACTGCATACTTGGATAAAGGCGGTTGTGAATGCGTACCATTTCAGCAGAGAAGGGACACTGATAAGGGAAGCTCGAGATCTGATGAACCCTAAAATCATTCAACAAATGGAACAAATGGAGAAATTAATCCGCGATAACTTCATGTAGTTTTCGTCGAATACTTGTTTTAATTTGGCTTAGAATTCAAAGTATAATTATTTTTAGAAACATAGTTACAGTAGTTGGTTACTTGTACACTTCATTTTTGTATTCCAATGGCATTAAATATTTATAATCATCAATTCTTGAAATTGCAGACATTTTAATTTTGACACTTCACCGAAATGTTTCAACTCTTTTACATTTCAAAACCATGTCTAATTTTTATAAACTGATGTTTTATGAACTCACCCAATTAAACATCCCTCACCAGAAATGTGTTTTATCGTTAATAATTGTACTAAACGACGAATAAAGTAAAGGCTCGACTTGAATCGATTCTTCATGGAATAACTTCCAATAAATATAGTTTTTAAGGTCCAGAGCGACACAAACCCTAACATTGAGCGGGCCCCAATGGAACCCGTTTGATACGACGTAAAAGAAGAATGGCCATCTAGATTTTATCAGCCAACAAATGAAGGTGACTATCAATGACATGACTTAAGTGATCCAATGTTCTTAATTAGTTTCTTGCTATTTCTACACTGTTCTTAATTGAATTACATCATATTCTTTAAATCACTGGGATCTACACAAGTGCCAGCCAACAAATGAAGGTGATTACAAGTTGGATTTATGAATCCCTCCCAGTGGTTTCTGAAAGAAACAGTTACATGAATTTATCTGTGCTGCTTGTGGTCTCTTTTTCTTTTTCTTCTCTTGTTATCATTCTTGTTCAGCAATCCTTTTTCTGCCAAACTCTTCATTTTCTGTGCTTTCCTTGCCTTGGCCTTTTCTTCAAAACCATCATCCATCATTTTCATCGTCGCCACACGCTTTGCCTTGTACACCTGCAACAACACACACACACACACATACTCACTTAACCGTAACTAACAGAATTAAAGCATGGGAGAAGAAGTTGGAAACTATCTTACCTTTGTAATATCTTCAAGCACCTCATTCTCTTTACATTCGAACTTCTCCATTTTCTTTCCAACATCAGCTTCTATCTCATGAATAAGATCTACATCGTTCTGCAAAATATTATTTAATTCACAACATCAGTAACCAATCATAACCCCCAATTTACTCTGACAAAAATCATCCAACTTCTTTCCAACCTCAGTTCATATATATCATCAACTGCCATACTAATAACTCGAAAGCTACATATATTCATAACACTTGATGCAAAACTTCATCTCCAAAAAGGTCAACCACATCCTTGTCAAAATGGAAAAGAAGAAAGAGGAAAACACATGTGAAATTGAAAACAAGACTCTACTCACCAGAAGCTTTAAAATAGAAAATAAAGTTGCAGAGAAGTGCAGATCAAACACAGATGTCCGTAGCTCCAAATTCCATAAGCTTTAGGATGGATGGAATATTTGTTTCAACTGGGCCGTATTTCAACTGGGCCGTCATCTTTAAATTTGAAAGTTGACCACTCAAAAAGCTTTAGGATGGATGGAATTATATTGCTCCTAGCAGGGCCGTTCCTGGGAGAGGGCGTACGCTGAAGGCCCAGTTGAAATACGGGCCTATATTTGTTTAGTATCTAATAGGACCCAATAAGAATTTCGTATTATATTAAGAGCCCAAACATGTATTATATAATTACATTGGAAAGAAAATATGTAAAAATTTTAATTGGTTGTTCATTGTGTTGTATAGCATTGCTTATTGTTTCTCTAATTTTTTTATCTAGCACCAAAGCCTGAAACTACTTGCCTAGAAAACCTTGATATATTCTCCATCATTCATCCCCAACCTACTCTTTATATTATTCCATGTGAATGCATTCTAATTTTGTATTAGAATACAGTAGATTTCTTGTTATTAACTGAGAAAACTTCTACCTTTTGAAAAAAATTACCAACCATATGAGACAGTCCAACGTATATCTATATTTAAGATTTCAAAACTACTCATGTTTTCATACATTTTAACTCCCCATTACCTAATATCTAGTGCATGAATCTTAAGAACTCTCCTATCTCTAAAACAAGAATAAGATCTCAAGTTATAACCAACATGGGCTTTGATTCTAAGATTGATGGTTCCGAAAAAGTGTGTTTAACCCTAAAGCTTAAAATAGTGATGAAAAACACTAACCTGAGGTGAGATGAAAACCTAACGGATTTATATTGATTTACATAGAGTGTTACTACAAATAGTTGACATTGTGACCCACATGATGTCTATATATCATAGAATGTTATTGACGATGGAACAGATTGACAAGGCTATGTAAAAAAAATATCATAGATAATATTAATACAAATATTTATTGATTGATTTTGCATTTAGAAATACCGAAAAAATGGTTTTATATAAATTATTAGTATTTCTTAAATCCAATGTTATTGCTTATATCTAAAACAATGTATTAAAGATTTTTTTGTATTTATTGAGGGTCCTTTTACATCTCTCCCGGGGCCTATAAAATGTCTATAGTTGTTAGAATGTAATATTTGGGTTGTAAAGCATGCTTTAAAAGTTATAATCTATGTTTGGAGTTTATTAGTAGCTCTGTAATGTTTGTGTCTTTGAATTAAGTCCCGTTAGTGACACCGCTAGTTCCGGACCACGTGGACGGGGGATGTTACGAATGTGGAACGTGCCTGGGTCCAAGCAAAAGAGAAGTAATAAAAGCTATATAGTGCATGGAGTTGAGATAAAACATCTAGGCTTGACTTCCAGTTTGTTTGTTCAAACAACACCCAAGATTTCTTAATAATCAAAGTTATAAACTGACCTGATGTAACTAAATCACCATTATTATTGACATTGTAGCCAAATTATGGCATCTCCATACAGTTCTCACATGCACAGTAGGAAGCAAAAAGTTGGCCATATGAATTTATGTTTGATGTAAAGAAAGTAATAATTTACCCATCAAAGTTCAAGTATAGAAAATTAATCTTTACAGTCATTTGCCAAGCAGAATAGTGGCATAAGTTTGCCAACTTTAGCAGTTAGATTATGAATTTGAATAATTACTTAGCAGACCAAATATAAATTACCAAAATTAAAGAGACTACGTAGCGAAGATACAGAGAATGCATTAAACAACTTCTCACCTGGGTGATGAAACTTATTGCAAGTCCTCCTCTGCCTGCTCTAGCTGTACGTCCAACACGATGAACATAGTCCCTTGGATATCTGACACACACTTGCTTTTTAAAATTTTCATATAAGGGGATATATAGAACTTATGAATCAATTAAAGATATGTTTGTAAATTTGCACCTTGGTATATCATAATTAATCACTAGATCAACTGTAGGAATATCCAAACCCCGACTGGCAACATCAGTTGCAAGCAACACAGGGACTTTCCCAGATTTGAATCTGTGAAGAGCTGATAGCCTTGAGGACTGTGATTTGAAAGAATGCAATGCTGCGACTTCCTGATCAAGCTCTTCCATCAATAAAGCCAAAAGATGACAACTCCTGGTCATTAACAACTTAATGTGGTAAACATATATGTCACTAAGTTGATTAAACATAAATAAAAGGGACAAAAGTTGTAGAGAAACGAAATGTACCTGCATGTGGAAACAAAAATTATGGCAGACCGAATCTCCATATCTTCCATTCGTGATAAAACATGAAGCAGATAAACATCCTTGACATTTTTGGGAATAAAAACATACTGCTGTTTGAGTGTATCAACCGTTTGAAAGCCTTCGTAAGCCTCATAAAAGTATGCCTTATTTGCAGAAACCTCAAGCAGCGATTGGAGGTTGCTTGTCATTGTTGCGGAAAATAACAAAGTCTGTCTGTTGTCTGGTAAGCACTTGAATACCACTCTTAACTCTTCCTCAAAACCAACATCAAGAACTCGATCTGCTTCGTCCAATACTAAGAACTGAAAAATAAGTTACAGTTCCATATCAAACTGTAATGTACAAATTCAATGAAAAGTCAACGTGGTACAAAAACTTATGAAAAAGAAAAGAAAATTGATACCTTGGTCTTAGAAAAGACAGCAGGAATATCAGGATTCTGGTCAATAAGGACTTTAATTCTTCCAGGAGTAGCAATAACAACATGAGGGCGTTGCATCAAGGCCTGCGTTTGGCTAATCATATCCATACCACCGACTACAACGGCACATCTCAAATTTAAGCATGATCCAAGTGCTCGAAACTGCTCCGCCAGCTGGTATGCCAGCTCACGGGTTGGAGTAACTACCAGGCAAAACACCCCAAAAGGATCTTCCGCAAGCCTGTGGAGAATAGGCAAGGCGAAGGCAGCTGTTTTACCGCTTCCGGTTTGGGCTAAGCCTAATACATCTTCGCCGGAAAGGATACGGGGGATGCAGTGTTGTTGAACAGGTGTAGGTTTTTTCATGCCCAGTTCTTTGCAGGTTTGGAGAGCCCAATCCGAAAGACCTAGGTCAGCAAAAGTGAGAAGAGTAGTGTTAGGACCCAATGATGTGTCTTTGACGAATTGGGGGTGGGCGGAAATAGGGTTATCAGCAAAGGTGGTGGCTGTGGGCTTGACGGATCCATGTATTGGTTTGTGAGAAAATAAGGGAAAGTTTTCATCGATCAGATCTTCATGTTCAGCCATGGTCGGTGGCAACAGTTGGAGTGCAGCCGTAAAGCAGGGCCGGTCCTGAGGATTTTGATGCTTAGAGCTGAAAACCAAAAAAATGCTCCCAATCTATATTAAAAAGGAAAAAAAACGAAAGATACTATGTTTTAAGGGGTTTGGAACCTTGTCAACCTAGGCGCTCATCCCCAAAAAAAGCATAAGACACACAAAAATATGAGTTTAGTCTGTATAACATTCTTGTATGGACACAGTATTTACCAAAAAAGGCCCTCAGAAATTTAAGAAGCAAATACCCAAAGAAAGAAAACCAAAAATGATTGTTGACTTTCACAAAATCCATAGTAATCATCAAAAAGATTACGGGAACAAAGAACGAAAATTAAGAAAAACATACACAAAGAAAGTTGGGTTTAATGTGTATGTCTGTACTATTCTTATTAGGATAAAGAACATATATGTTCGTTGATTTTCTCAAAATCCATAGCAATCACCAAAGAGTTATAGGATTCAAACCAGATGATGTATTTGAAACTATATCTCTCTCATGGTCTACGGCCTAAATTCCATAAAAATTCCATAACATGAAATCCACCCAATATCACAAAAGAACAGTAGCAGAAAGTAAAGTCCAATAGCTCCTTTCTACTTCTATTTCTACTCTATGGTGTAAGAATTTGGATTAATGAAATCATCCCCCCACTAAAAACAAATTATACTTATTCAAATATAAATCCAATTGTTCTTGAATTTCTTTAACTGCCATAGGAAGTTTGAGTGAATGAATTGAGCACACAGTGCCCACTTAAATATTGAGTTGGAAATCTTCTGTCATCCCTAAGTTTTGTTCTTAAAATAAATCATGATGTTAGTACCTAGTTTCTTAGTCCTAAAATGGTGAAATTAATTATCCTCTGGTGGATGCTACAAAAAAACAGTCCTCAACAAAACATCAAGATTAGCCATTCAAGCTAAACACCTGTTAAAGCTTCAGATTAAATATTCTCATGGTTCCACATAAGTTTTCTCAACTAAAACCCAATAACAAGTGATGTCAGTGCACTTTATGAATGCTACTATGTTATGCCTAAACATTGAGATTGCAATACAACTCCTCAAAAATGATACCTTCCCCCTGGTCTATGGTGACTTTCCAGCCACCAACAACAAAAATCAGATGAGAAGAATTTAACTTCCCACCAACAAGTTTTTATTTTTCAACCAAAAATCCCAAAGACACAAAGTTTCCTTCACTGCTAGGTTAAAGCAAAAGCACAGATATTAGACATTCGGGTATTTAATCAAACACTTGGTGCTCATAGAAACCCAAAGGGTCACAAAAACCATCAAAGAAATCGACATCTTTGGTGTTCCATAGAAAAAGCAAACAAGAAACAGAAGATGGAACATACCAGAAGAGACTTGGAGAAATCTAAGCGACAAAATGGTTGCTTGAAGAGTTGAAGTCACAGAAATAGCCTCTTCGAAACAGAATATGCACGAGAAGGGGGAAATATTGGAAAGATGAGACCGAATGATGATTAATCGCTCCCCACCGGGCCTGCCGTAAAGCAGAAACCTAATTACAAGGGTGTAGTGGGCTTTCTCGTTTGGGTTGCAGGAGCTTTAGCCGGTTTGGATAAACAATTTATATTCACGCTAAATCATAATAAGAAGTTTTAAAAAAAATTAAATTCTTCTGATTTATAATAAATTAGCAAAGACCTTTATAAAAAAAATATTTTGTTTAAAATAAGCATTCCCAAAAACCTCCTGGCTTCGACTTTTTGAACCCCAAATGATAGGAATATATCTATACTATATTATAAAGTATTTGACAAAATTTTTTAAAAACCATTCTTTATGCATGAAGTACTGTGTATTAATGCATATTATTTAAATTTTAAGCTTATAAGTAAATTATACGCAAGGACAACTTATTAAAGCTCTATTTTTGAATTTCTATAACTAACTACAGATAAACATAATCAAATACAGGATAAACATCTCATTTTAAATATAAAAAATCTAAAATATAATTAAGATAATAATTTAGTTCTAACAAAATTATTATCTTTATAAAATTTTATTATTAAGCCAAAATATTTTTTTTATTAACCTGGATATCCAATCCGCTATGCGAGCCGGCTAATCCTAAAGCAACCACCTGCTTTGCAGATAGCTCGAAATCACCGCATTTGAACCTCTGTGACCACAAGAGAATTTTTATTTCTTATTGGATTTGAAACTGAAACCTTCTGATATTTTTGACCTTTGGAACCAAACTCCCAAAAATAAATTACTTCACTAAATCATAAAAACATTATTTTTCTCAAAACCATATAAATCGTATTATATCAACAAAGACAAAAAACAAAATAAAACATTAAAATAAAAATATATTTTGCTGCATTATACGAGTACCCTTTTGGTATTTATTAATTTATTTTTAATAGAAAATTTAAAAAACTAAAAAAACCCCAAACCATCGCTGTTAATACTCATTCCCATTGAGATCGCGATAAATCGTTTTACAAGAAAGAAAGGCCTGCGCAAACCCAAATTATTAAAGAAAAGCCTCTACGAATCCCCAGTCGCCTGCACCTGCTCCGGTCCGGCCACGGTGCTCCGACGATCCCCACTCCTCAGTACCCCAGCAGGTAACTCGTTGTTTTTTATTTATTTATCCATTTAAATTCTACGTAAATTCTAAACCCTAGTTAAATAGTTTAGTTGAGTCATTCATATTGGCAGATATCTCCTTCATAATCCTCCTCTTTAGTTTCTTTGATCATCTTCGAACGAGCTTATAGATGGACCCACCATATGATCGTTTTCGTTTTTGTTTCTTGATTCATTATATATCAAGGTACTGAATTTCTGTTGTTTTTGTTCTTATTATGTGTTTCTTGATGCGGTTAGTTGATTGGAATTGGCAGTCATGGTTTTCAGTTTTCTCTTTCTTCCTCTTGATTTTTGATTTGGAAATCATATGATAATGGTGAGATGACAAACTATTGTTTTCTCATAACTTGATTCGTAATAGCTACCTCAGAAACCCAAACCCTAGTTGATCTCTATTTTCTATTTCTGCAGAGCTCGAACCTCAAGGAAATCCCAATTAGGCTCAAGTAGACATTTACAATATATTTACATCACACATTATGCTTTCCTAATCTGTTTGTGTCTAGTTAGATATGTCTACTATCTGATACATATATACTTTGTGTTCTCACTGGAAACTGGAAATGGGAGCAAGATTTGGAGATGTAGGCTATACTACATAGTAACAGTAATGTTGACTATCGGTAAATAAACTCTAAGCTGCCACTAATAGAAAAGTTAAGAAATGCCACATATAAAAAGTCTGCTACATTACCTTAAATCTCTATGTTCGAAGAGAAAGTGACGTTCTTTGAAGTTGACATAATGTATAACCCCTGATACTACTACAATAATGCACCCATACACTCTGTATGAAAATGAATTAACAAGAATTTTTTTGACTAAATGCCAACAAAAACAAATTAAGGTGAACATATCTGGTGAACCAATACAAGTGTGTGCCGTGACTATGCTAGACCAAAAGCACAAGATTCAGAAAAAAATGGAACAATGATATTGTTCCCCTTAGAAAATTGCAAGAATGGTAAATTCAAACAAAAAATGTTGCAAGAATGCTAAATTCAAACAAATAATAAGTTCCATGTAGCATCCAACAACTTGAACACTTAGTAAAATGTAAATTTTTACATGTTCCCCAAATACAAATTATATCACTAACAATTTTCACAGAAGCTTTTGCAGACAACTCCAAAAGGTTAAATGGAGCTAGTATTTTGACGTACCTTTTAGCACCCTGGATGGTCATATCACCTAGCTCTGCCAACTTAACTTTTAAATTTTAAGAACATGTGGTAAATACTTTATAATATAGTATATATATATAATATTTGGATTTATAAGATACATTTTTCATGTAAAATAACCACCCAATAACCAATAGCTACTCAGATAATATTGATCACTATAAAACTTGAAAGCATTCGAAATTCAGAAGACATCTCAAAATCAAAGCAAAACCAATATATGAGTCACGGCCAAGGTTTTAAAAAGCGGAATTGGGCCTTGAGGCGTTTTCTCTCAACGAGGGGAGGCGTTCCAAGGCATAAGCTCCGAGGCAGAAATATATATATCAATCTGCGTTGCACTGCTTATACACAGAAATATATGCAATATATACACACACACACACACACTTGAGTACTACCTAGACACAAAACATAAATAACATACTGGAGTACTAAGAGGATATACAACACTTTTTTTTGTCATGAAATATAGATATAGTAACAAAGAAAAAAAATATTGATCTATTAATAATATATATGCACATACATACATATTACTATTGTTAAGCTCATAATGGAAAAAATATTAAAATATCAACGAAGTGGGAGTAGAAGTGACTATGACTCTGAGACATGGTAGAGACTAAATATAAAAGAAGTGTATCCGGTATATACATATACATAATACTGTGGTGAAGTAGAGAAGAATCAAAGAAGAAAACGCAAATAAATCGGGAGAAAACTGGAACTCACGAAGGACAACAGATGTAGCAGATACGGCTTAGGAGAACCAGAAAAGAACAAGGTTTTCAAAACAGAAATCGAGAAGGTTACAGTCATTTTTTAATAATTTAGCCTCCCATTGTGGCGTATGCCTCTCCACCACCTCGCTCCTCACTGCCTTGGTCACTACCTCATTCAACCAAGGCGTACGTTCTGTCTGGGGACTGAGGGGAGACGCCTCAGGTGCGATTTTGGACCGCCTCACCTTGAGGCACGTGTTTAAAACCATGGTCACGACTAGTTTTACTGAGCATATAAATCACATGTCTGCAGCAATTCATCTTCATTATCGAAATGCTACATGTTCAGTTCTGTAGAAAGTTAAAAGGAGGTGATGATCTTGTTTCATAATCTTAATGTATCGGGTAACTGTCATCAGTGATTTCTATTTGAAGTTTCAATCTTTGCTTGTCTTATTCAAATAAAATCTTATCTGAGTTGAAGTAATGCCTTAGCTTGATATTGAGTATGGTGTTAATTTTCTAGGGTTTTGGAATTTGGGGACGATGACTAGGAAGACCTCTATTTGTGGTATTTGCGAGAATTCAAATCTTGCTTCTATTTGTACAGTTTGTGTCAATTACAGGTAAATTTTACGATTTCTTTATATCTTTGTTGTGTTTAATTCGTTCAATTCAGCTCAAACAGGCTGCAAATTGTACCCCTTCTGTTCCTAAAAAACAGACGCATTTGACTTTCAAATTTTGACGAGGAAGGGATTAACTTTCCAACTTGAGTTGATGTGTTCTAAGATAATATATACTTACACATGTGTGTATGAGTAATTGGTTCTTGTGGGCTAAAAGTTCCTTGATGCAGGTTAAACTCATATGGCACTAATTTGACATCATTAAAGAGTCGCCGAGATTCTCTATACTCAAAATTGAGTGAAGTGCTTGTTGCTAAGGTTTGTTTGATCCCATAACTTGTCTTCTTTCTGATTCTTTTGATTGGACAGATTAATTTGCTTCTTATTGCATTCTTCACGTATTTGCTAGCAAGTCGAATTTTGGAATAGAGAACTTTAGATGAAGGGTTAGCATGTGCCATAAAATCCTATCAATATATTAGAGGTAACAATGGTTGTTAAGAAAATTGTTTGGTCTGCTACAAACTCTTTCGGAATAATAACAGCCTAAACAAATGTACACCAGAAAACAAAGAGGTCCACTAGATATGCATGGCTTAGCTTATCACTGTAGCAAGGACTTCCTAAATTTGGGTTTTCTTAGTTTAAACTATTTAAAATTTTGTACAATGAGGTTTCTATCTTAGTAAGTGTTTGCCAAATCCATTTCTCTTTCCACTGAATTGTGACATTTTTTCCGTTTATCGTGTCATCTATATTTTATGTTGTTCTTTCTTCTGCTGCTCTCTCTTCTGAACCAGTCTCTGGTTTCCTTCCTTTTTTTCATTTAACTATTGAACTAGATCTAATATAGTGGTAACTTGGCTTCCATTCTTAGTTGTACATGTCATCTCTTAATGTTTGCTTTTTCATTATGTTTTTGACTTTGTGTATCATAGGAACTGAATTATCTATTTTTGTTAACATTGACTTGAGGTGAATGGTCTAGCTCTTCTTGAGCTTGGCTCTAAAAAAGCATACCTTAAGGCCATTTCTTGCTATTTTTCTGTTTATTACCGTTTTTTAGTTTACAAATCATCATTCTTTTAGATACTGGTTTTTTTGTTGCTAAAAACCTGTTTATTTTCCAACGCTGTTTTGTCAGGGCAAGGCAGATGATCAACTCAGTTGGAAAGTCCTTCAACATGAGAAACTTGCCACATTGAGAGAGAAGCTTCACTTTCGTAAAGAACAACTTATAAAAGGTTAGTTGTCCTATGCTACGGTAACATTGGCAACAATGGCAAGTGATATCAGTAGATCATTGTTGACCATTTTACACTAAATTCATGCTTTATAGATAAAGCCAAGGTTGAAAAGATGGCTTCTGACTTAAAAGTCAGATATGAAATGCTCGAATCAGCCATGAATGTGGTATGCAAATGCCTTTGCGTTCTCTTTTATTTTTTTAATCATGCTAGATATTGGATTAATATGTTGTTGCCTCTTTCCATTTACAGTTGGAAAGAAACCGCAAAGAGCAACTGGAGAAGTATTATCCTAATCTTATATGCACTCAGAGCCTTGGGCATGTAAGGGTTGTCCTTAATGAACGGTTTTAATTTTCTTTTGTTTTCACTATGTTTGAATCTTCTATTTGGGAAATTGTCTTATTGTATTCCCTCAGTTTCAGAAAAAATTCAAAGTGTTCATTTTGATTCCAAGCCTTGTGCTTTCCAAATACTTGTTGCAAACCTGACACCAACATTATTTTACTCGTAGTGCTTAGTAGAAATTCATTCTTGCAAACATTTTTTTTTCCTCAAAAAAATTAATTTTTATAATAGTAATCAAATTTGAAGCTGGAAGTAGTAGCCTATTGATGTCCTAAGCTAAAGTGTCGATATATATGAAACAAAGGGAGTATTTCCTAAAATGCTCATATGATCTCTTTTGACATCATATCATAAAGGACTTCCCTTAAAAAGAAATAAAAAAGAAGTTTTATATCTCTATATATCCGTGTTTAACATGGGTTTTATGACATGCAGATGGCAATTACATCAGAACGTCTTCATAAACAATCTGTTGTTATCAAACAGATATGCAAATTGTTTCCACAGCGCAAGGTGATCAATTTTTATTTGTTTATTACTGTAACTAATACCAAGTATTAGGGTCTTAATCTCATTGCATACTTTGGTTGTTCTTATGGTCAACTTGACGTTTTTTTTCTTAAGTATGGTGTTTAAAAGCTTGGGATTGCCCCCAATGGCTTCCAATTGAAAGTTTTGTATCTATTCATGGATAGCTATTCATCTTCTCTTGATCTTATTCTGTCCTTTTGGAAAACCTTTGACAGAAAATGGCAACTAATCAAACCATTAAAATATCTTCTATATTGTTGCTGTTTCAGTCCAAGGGAGATCCTTTGATTGTTGCTTGAAAGCTTTACATTCTGTAGAGTAGACCAATATCAGCGCAAAATGTGTTAGTAGCATGTGAATAGCGTAATGCATAAGTTTTTGAGCTTATGTTGTTCTTGCACTTCCTTACTAGTGGCAAGGGGAGGCAAATACAGTTTAAGAAGGATGGTAACCTTCCAATTATATTTCTGATTGTTTAGGTTGGATGTATACTATAGTTGTTACTTCAGATTAGTTAATAATTAGGCAGGACTCTTGGCAGTTTCACGTAATGTTTACAAATTCTGGTTGCAGGTGAACATAGATGGAGAGAGGAAAGACGCATCAAGTGGACAATATGATCAAATTTGCAATGCACGATTACCAAGGGGACTTGATCCCCACTCAGTTCCCTCTGATGAGCTTGCTGCTTCTTTGGGGTAGACATCTTTTCTATTCTGATCTACTTATGTATACATACGCATATTATTTCTATGTATTTCTCAAGTTGGTTGGTAATCTATCTCTGCCATGTTTAACCTCTAATGATGAAGTATATTAGTCATCCTTTTACATTCCGTCTATTACTTCTTGAAATTCTTCCATATCGCCAGTTTCTTTGCTTGTTAATTGTTGTTATTATAGTTTTCTAATACACACGGTGCATGAGATACACTGAATGGCTCCCTGTTGCATTAATACCCTTCCCATTGGAATTAGGCTAAGATCTATCGCCTTTTTATGCTGTAATTGATTATTTTTACCCTAGTGTCAAATTTTGTCTACATTTGGTGCTGCAATTATCGAAAGATACAATATAAAAGATTTAATTCAATTATCTATGGGGTTTATTTTAGTAAAATAAAATCTTTCTTTTCGGGTGCATAAATGTAGTTGACGGTTTCAAATTGCCTGGTGCATATTTTGGCTTCTGTAGCAGGCCTAAATGTGAAACTAATGAAAAAGGTGAAATTTTAAACAACTTATCTCTTTTATATAGGCTAGGCTTTACGGTTAGTTTTTTTTCCTTCTAAATCTAGGTTAATTTTGTCAAATCTTCTTGCTTAGTTTGTTGATGAATTGAACTTGCTAGAACTTCACTTGCTACATCCCACATGCTTCCTTAGTCATTCTATTTCTTGCTAGTCCTAGATGGCCTTCATAAAGGAAATATGGTTCCTCATAATATATAATATATGGGTCGGAATTGCTATGCTTAGAAAACTTGTGCAATTCGTACTAATCTTAATCCTCATTCCAAATGTCACTTATCTTTTGTACTCCTAGAACACACATTATTGCAAGGAGTAAGTCTATTCTTATTGCAATGATTTTTGATTAATTAGAAACAACCCAGTTTATTGCTCATGAATTTGGAAAAAGCTTTTATCATTGGATGTTGCTGCGGGTTTGCAGTTATGCCATCTTATCTATAGTTTATTGTACTATCGTGAAAGATCGATTGTCAAGATTTTATTGTGATTAAACTAGCTATTTCTTGATTTGTAGCGCAATTATTAGTGGGAAGTGCATGATTGTTACGAGAATTATATAAAATAAATCTCTCGGACTATTAATAAATGGAGATTAGTGCAAGTATACACTTATCAATCCACTATCGTCTTTTACAATTAATAAAGTGGTAAAAAAACTGAATATCGTCCGCACTTCCACAGGGAAAGGAATAAAAGTTCATTAAAAGTCTAAGTAAAGATATGATTTCAGATGGTGAGTTCGAAGAAATATTTGTGGTGAGTTGGTTTAACACTACTGTTGTGAACAAGTAATAAAAGAGAGCTTCAGGTGTGGGGATTTGTTAGGATATTCAACCGATTTTAAGTAGAAGACATGCTACAACATGGTTCTATAGCATGCTTTATAAATAACTTGTTCTTACAACCAATAGCTTCTTTTAGGTACTCTCTCGAGATGTAGAATGACGCACAGTCATAGATTAAGCCTTCATATCTCCAAGCAAGGCTGGAGTCTTGACATTGGCTCAAACTATTCCTTATATAAGCTAAATGGAGTGAAAACGAGTCTTTTCGATTATAAGTAGCTTTCTCGAGCCTACTTCCATCTCATTCAAGTTAACGTGTGTTGTTGGTTTATCTCTAAATCCAACGCACTTTAACATTTTTAAACAAGTGATCAACTTGTCCATGAATGATATTTTTGCAATATAAACTTGAATGACGTAGTCAGACTTATTATTTAATTTTCTACCAAAGGAATCGGTGTTTCTCTTAACATCACCCAACAACTAAGCTATATTTTTAGCCTACCATACTTGAAATAATAAAATTAATTGCATAAATAATAGAACATATTAATAGGAAGTAAAGTACAAGAAAAGAAAAGAAAGTAAAAGAAATAAATGCTAAAGAGAATTGTAAAGATTAAACAGGACTTCTCGAATTTAGAGAGAATATTAAAGATACTTCCATTCTTCAATTTCATAACCAAGTTAACTTCTAAATTGCTTACCTAAAATGCCAAGCATCCCATCCTTTATATAGTAGGAAAAGGGGACACAAGGACCAAAAGATAAAGCCAATATCCAACTTTTTACAATACCCAAAATATAAAGCCATATTACCCAAAAGATAGTACAAAGAGAATATTTTATCCTTGTACTATGAAATCTTTAAATCTGCAGGAGATGCTGCCAAAAAGGTGGATAAGATATCAAAAGATCCTCCGTACTATTATCCAAAATTCCCCTGGAATCATTCTGCAGCACATGTTGTAGCATACTTTTGCTAAATCACCTATTTACACAGCTTTTCCCCAAAAATTAACAATTACCCAAGAAGTAAACATGTTTATCACATCAATTCAGCTCTAATATAAAAAAGATGCAAAAATAAAATAAAAAGACTTAATTTGTGGAATTTTGTGAAACTAAAACGGATGAATAAAATAAGAAAATGTGTAAAATCATCAAATAGGTTGATGCTTATCAATGATCAATCTACTTGGTGAAACTAATGACTATATACTTATAACTCCATCTGTTGCATTTATCATGTCTTGTACTCCTATATGCAATATTAGATAAAATTGCATTAAAATTAGTAGTTAATACCTGTTATGGTTGCTAAACCCTTTACTTTGAGTCCATATTATATTGGATAACCCCGCTAATTGTTTTAAGCTTCATGATTTTTCAATGAATGCAACAGATATATGGTGCAGCTTCTTAATCTTATTGTTTACAATGTTGGTGCTCCTGCGCTTCATAACACGGGTTTTGCGGTAATTTCTGATCACCTTCGGTATTGTGTAAAGAATTCCGTGTGCATGCTATTACTAATCGCTTCTGCAGTTTTAGTAGTGTATTTTCTATATATACTGTTATAAGAGTTAAGTTATTATGCTTCTAGTTGTGAGTAAACAGCCATTTTGATCAACTTGTTTGTATTTGTGTCGTCTTCCTTTCTTTCTTCTTGGGAGTGCTGGAAAACACCACAAACAAAAACAAACAATGCAAAAATCTAATAAAAGATGACGAATACCAGGGATCAAGTATATTCACTTGAAAATAGACATTATAGGTGTTTTGAAATGGCATGTTTCAGAAGTTTTCATGCAAAGACTGAAAAGATAGTTATATAAAACCAACATAAGGTACTGAGGAGTGCATATATTTTGACTACTTGAACTTTTTGTCAATCCCATAAGCATTTTTATGAAAAAAAAAATTCTAAATAGAGGTTGTATATGGTCTTACACTCTTACCGTCTTATGATTCCAAGCAGACTAGAATTAAATCAATCGGACTTGATACCGATTTCATGTTTTTTTGCTTCAATTTCGATGATACTGCATCCATTATAGCACTTAAAATTTCTTTTCGAAGCAGGGTTCATGCTCCCGAATATGGCAACGTGATTCTTATTGGGATGCACGCCCATCCTCCAGAAGGTACCATAGATCTATCATATCTATCTTTTATTAAAAATTTGTCATATTGATTCAATTTTATGCAATGCAGCAACGAGTATCCACTTTTTATCCCACGCCAAAATTTTTGCACGACTGGAGTGGAAACTTCATGGTCAGATAGAAGTTCTAGTAATTTTGGTGTTGCTTCAATGGAATCTGAGAGGAAACATCGTTTAGATTCTTCGAGTAGCAGTAGCTTCAACTATACATTGGCTTCCCCTCACTCCGTTGAAACACACATGGATTTGCAGAAGGGAATTTCACTTTTAAAGAAAAGCGTCGCTTGTGTAACAGCGTATTGTTACAACTCGTTATGTCTAGAAGTTCCTGCTGAGGCATCTACTTTCGAAGCATTTGCGAAGTTGTTGGCCATGCTTTCTTCTTCCAAGGAAGTTAGAACTGCCGTTTCTTTGAAAATGGCTTGTTCAAGGTACCAATTTGGTTGTTCTATATTGAAATATTTGAGATTTTTAAGCAATTCCGTTGGTTTAACTCTGTTGTACATTTTGCAGATCGTCTAAGCAAGTCCAACAGTTGAACTATTCTGTATGGAACGTGAATTCAGCAATTTCATCGAGTACTTTACTCGAAAGTAGACATACTTCAGCTTCAATGGTACATGTGTAATCAAAATATGTGGAACAAAAATCTGGGAAATTACTTAACTACCCATGTCATGATTTGTATTAATGGTTGGTTGTTATTTGAATATGAAGCAGAGAAGCAGAGGCGAGAAAAGTCTTTCAAGCTCGGGTGCTAGTTATCTTTATGGTGCTACTGATAATGGGAAGAATGAAATGCTTACGGAAGGATGGGATCTTGTGGAACATCCTACTTTGCCGCCACCACCATCGCAGACTGAGGATGTAGAGCATTGGACACGAGCCATGTTTATTGATGCAACAACAAACAAGTAATCTGCACCCTCTTATAATATAACTCAGGTCAAATATAAAATACATGCATGTAAATAGAGAAACTTTGCAAGTTTGTATATATATATATGTGTGTGTGATTCTGTTTTCTTTCTGTTTCGCCTTTCTTTATTCCCGTTGCATACTGTCTTTACCTAACATCGTATAACAAAACAATCAAATTTCTGTAGAACTCACATACATACATACATACATACATACATACATACATACATACATACATACATACATACTAAAGTCGACGATCTTTTCCTGAAATCTGATTGATTTTTGTTGTATGTATATATCAAAGTATTTGTTTTATGATGTATGTATGTATGTATGTGGGACACGGAAGTAAGTAGCTTGTTTTGGCTTTATGCAACTTTGTATATATTTTCCTCGTCTATGTAGTCAAAGGGTATGTATTTGGGATTCCATCTTTAAAAACTATAGAGTAAACTACATATTTGGTCCCTATGATTTGTCAAAAATGCCACTTCTCGTTCATGTAGTTTCAAAATTACAAGATAGTCACGTGGTTTGCAAAGACATTTGGGTTTGGTCCCTTTCTTTGACGGCCGTTAGAGAATTCCGTTATATGAGAGTCATGTTATTGATTTGTTTTTGTCCTTTATTCAATAATAAACAGCAGGGACCAAAATCATAAAATCTATTTTGATCGGATAAAAGACCATTTTTGATCAAGTTCAATGGAATCTTTAAACGGCGGTTAGAGGGATGGATCAAATTCATCTTGTAATTTCCAAACTGTAAGGACGAAAAGTGTTATTTTCACAAGCATAGGGACCACATTTGTAGTTTACTATATGATGGAGGTTATGGTCATCATTGGAAGCAATGATGCTATGCTAGAGTTGTACCATACGCACCATTACTTGTACTCTTTTTAGTTATTTGTTTGGTAATGGTTGCAGGTGGCATTGATCTCCGTTTATAGATATTTGATTAGGATAAAAAGAGGGTTTAAAATATGAATGGTTAGTGTCCCATTGCTTTTTTTCCTAAATTAATGGTGTTGCTTTACAAAGGTTATGGGAAAGAGCAAGACTTCAAAAGCTACATCTTTTTTAAAGAAAAAGTCCTTAGGACAAACACAATTGCTCTGAATCTACTTTTTTAATTAAAATATGAAAAACCATATAACAAAGAAAGGAACGGAATTCATGTATCGATAAAGTTGTATGTGTAGATTAATTTGTCTGTAAGATTTTTATCTGAGGAGATCTTTTCCGTAGATGGAAGATGCCTTTTCTTTTTTAATTGTGAGAACTAGGTTTGAAGAAAAATTTGTTTTCCTACATAAAGCTAAATGGATAAGCTACTTTTTATATTATTAAGTTATCTGAATACTTAATCACTTTTAATCTCATATTTATTCATTAATTGTACTTTAGAATGAAATTGATCTGGTGCATCTTGATACACCTCATTAGTGTTGATATTAAAGTTAGTTTTTACGTAAACTTGAGATATGAAATCACGTTAATAATTGTTTTAATAGAAAAAGGTTCACTTTCCAACATCATGGTTTGATTGGACCAAATGTTATGTTTCGATTGGAGCAACGTTTTGATGCATAGTTTTGTTTAGACGTGTCTGAATCAACTAATATTAGGTTACCTTTTTGGCTATAAATAAAAAATAGATATATAAAATATTAAGAGAGGATCTCACTATTGGAAGTAATAGAGGATTATATGAGAATTTACGAGAAAGACCATTATTACAGTGAGAAGACTAAGAGGGGATCTCCACCATCGGATATACATTAGGATAAGATGTATCCGATCAATTTTCATATCAAGTGCGATTCATGAGTGAGTTTGAGATTAAAGGTGATTCAAGGGTTCAGATCTCTTTTTATGTTTCTTATGTTAACTCACATTCTTATACTATCATTCACATTCTCACATGATCTTAACTTATCTATATATTATATATAACACGGTAAATGAAACTTACACACACTCCTCATTCAATCATTTATGGTAATCTGGAGCTCCTGATGTGCAAAAAAAAAAAAATCATTTTTGAAATATGTTTGGAATCTTAAAGACCAAGCAAACAGAAAGCATAGATAAATTCAGTTAAACTTTTCAAAAAAGTTAGTGTTGTTATTTATTTGATTATTGCAAACTAACTTTATTCGATTTTTCGTGTTCAAGTTTTAAAACAGTACCGTTTTTCAATGTTTATCGTAACTTTATAGTGATAATCGGTCAATTGTATTTTTACACATTACATCTCTAATTTTATACTGTTCAGATTTTATAGTTTTCTCTAATTTTATGTCAAGTAAACGAGAATTATATCAAATGATCAGTATCAGTTTCTTCGGTTTTTATAGTTTATATTATTATAGAACTATTTCTTTTCCTTCAAAAAGTGTAGTATAAAAAGGAGAAAAATAATTTGTTAGTTTGTCCAAATTCGTATAAAAACTTACAACTGCTGGTACTATAAACTCACAAGTGATCGATCAGTTCCAAATATTGCAAAAACTTGATTCTCTTGCAAGTGTTATTTAGCCATTACACAAATCATTTTTATGATAATTTATCCAATATACAGATGCAAAACATCCCTCGTTTCGCTGTCTCTCCAGCAAAGATGGTCATGATAAAGCTGTTGAGGTTGCTCTAATACCTTATGCTTGAACGACGTTTGAATAAGAGGAGTTGAAGAATTGTGCTAGTGAAATGTCAAAATGGGCCTAAGGACTTGACCATTAGTGTTTAAGTTTGACAAGAATGGTACATGAAACACTTCGGGTGTGTTTAGTACACTGGACAGAGACATGATAGAACAGGACAAGGATCCCTGTCCCATGTTTGACATGAATTTTATGTGGAACAGAGTGAAACAAAGTGGAACAGGCTTGCTCCACCCCTACCCATGGAACAAAGTGAAACAGACTTATATTTTACCAATATAATCTCAAAATAAAACTTAATTCTCTTATAAAATATCAAATAGGTCTTTTTTTACATTTTATTCATTCTTTAAATTTTATTTATTGTATTTTATGTTTCTTAAATTTTCATTTTACTATCCTCAAAATATTATTTTTATATGATTTCTATATTTTTATTAATTTATGTAATTTATTATATATTAATAATAAAAAATAATGTAGAAAATAGATAAAAATAAAAATAGAAAACTACATAAACTTTTTATTTGGTGTCATTTTGATTGTTTTGATGAAAACTTCAAATGATATATTTTGTTATAAAAAATAGTTATTCTATTATAATTTAATAAATGACATAAATTAATTAATATAAACAACTCATCAAAGGTAAATTGGTCATTTTACTTGTTCTATTATGTCTAGTTCTATTTTACCAAACATTGAACAGTTGTTCTATCATGTCCTGTTCTGTCCAGTCTTAACACCAAAGACACCCTTCAAGTATGTGTTTTAGTAATAAAAAAAGTAAACATATTTTTGAAAAAAAATATCAAGATTAAGCATATTTTTGTTATATAAAATATTGAGCATAGAAACAAATCTCCCAAAAGTTAATCAATTGTTTTGCTTTTTAGGCCCTTCCAGAATATAACATTTTATTTTTATATAAAACTTAAAGATGATTTTTTAGTAAGAAATTAAAAGCTACAAAATGAAATCATTTTATATTAATAATTAAATTAAAAAAATATCTATTTTGAGGACAAAAATATTATTATTTTTTTAAAAACAATATAAAATAAAAAAGGAGTAGGTGTTATTTAATAAAAATAATAATTTAAGATGATTTGATGCCTTTTTCCTCAAACCCATTTACTTTTCATGCATAATTTCTTATTTATAAAAACCCCATTTAAATTTCATTTTTGTGTTCTTCAAGATTGTTCCCATTTCCTACTACTTCATGCATCCACAGGTCTCTCTCTCTCTCTCTCTCTCTCTCTCTCTCTCTCTCTCTATATATATATATATATGTATAATTAAATTATCAAAAATTTGTTAGTACCTATGAGTTAATTAATGATACAAGTTAGAGCCGTCCTTTAACATGTTAAATGTGATATTTTGAATTTTGGAGGCCCAAATTTACATGTATTTAGAGTATTTTTATCGACCTGTGTAAAACTATAGTAGAAATTATTTAGGTTCAAACCATTAATTATTTGGTTTTAGGGTCAAATCATTAATAGTTTAGGTTTATATTCAGATTGTTAATCGTTTAAGGTTTAAGTTTAGCCCGTTTTTATTCCTAGCATGTATTATCTGTCATCTCATTTATGCAATGTAATTAAAAGTTCTTGATGTAACAGGACCTCCAAAAAGATTGGAATGTCCCTCATACAAGTAATTGTCCTTAACCATCATTTCTGGTATCAAAATGTCCATTTATATCAATTACTGTGTATTTATGGAATTAATATGTTTTTTTTTATTAACCTGGATATCCAAATGCGAGCCGACTAATCCCAGGACGACCACCTATGATGACGTTTTTATCTGTGTTTAGGGTTTTAATATGTGAAAATGGTGTCAACATCGACCCAATTTTCGACATCGAGAACTATGGGAACCTACGATCCATTTCACTATGTTAGCATGCAGCAGGACACATTGGGAGGTCAAGTTAGCCAGAACACGAGCCATCTCCTGGCCTCTCAGCTCGAACCAAGGCTTACCAACAACGTAACAATGGTTTCTTATTTTTTATATACATTTTTCATGGTCTGGATCATGCAATCTGACCATCACAATTATCAGGAATCCTTAGAATCTTCACAAGACTTGAAAAACGACATTTCAGAAAAGGTTACTTATTTGATTTGATTATGTGTAATATAGACATATATGGGTATGAGTTGATCTTTTAAAACGTTAACGTATTGCAGTTGCAACGACGACTAGCGCAAAACCGTGAAGCTGCACGAAAAAGTCGTTTGAAGAAAAAGGTATGCAACGAGGACCGTACGTGTTCCTAGGGGTGTGTTTGGTCTTATTGTGTCGCTATACATTGTAGGCCTATGTTCAAGAATTGGAGTCGGGGCGTCTAAAATTGGCAAAATTGGAGCACGAAATCGAGAGGACCCGACAACAGGTTAAAGAATTTTTCCATAACGTCAAAAATCGTTGCTAAAACCCCTTTTTCCCGCAAATTCATATTTTTTGGTCCAATTGTCTCTCGATTACAGGGTGCGTACGTGGATCTATCGAATACGGTCCACGGTCTGTTATCTGGTAACTTCGACTCAGGTACATGGTTTTTTTTGACAAAGATTAGTATATGTCCGAAGAAATTATACCCAACAACTCGACATCGTCTTTCGTGACGACTCCTGTAGGGATTGCTATATTTGAGACGAAATATGATTTGTGGGTTGTTGAGCAACACAAGAAGGAATCTCAACTCATGGCCATCTTACAAACCGACGTGAACGATGTTGAGCTTCGCGTGGTCGTAGATGGTGTCGTAAACCACTACCATGATCTTTTCCAAATGAAAGCCGATGCTGCGAAATCCGATGCGTTTAATTTGTTGTATGGGACATGGAGATCCCCGGTCGAGAGATTGTTCCAATGGCTTGGCGGATTCCGGCCATCAGAGGTCCTATATGTAAGTCCTAACATCGTTACCAAAACCATCCAACAAAAACGAGTTCATTTACCAAATGGTCATTGCCCCCGTGGTAGGAGGTTAGATGCGTATTTCCCATAAATAAATATTATATACTTTAAAAAAGAATTGATACTAATTAAAAAAAGAAGAACTCATCTTAACCATCAATCTATTTTAATCCAACGGTTATGAATAGAAGAAGAGAATTGTGGTTTCTTTATATAAATGCAATATATATTGAATACTTGATGTTCCAATAATACCCTTTCGATTTTGGTAGACACTAATGCCATGGTTCGAGCCTTTAACGGATACACAAGTCGTAAATTTATCCAAGTTAAGACATACTTGTCGACAAGCTGAAGATGCGTTGACTCAAGGTATCGATAAACTTGAACAAACATTGGCTCAAGGCGTCGGTATCAACATGACGGAAGGTGGAAGTTACGGCATACAAATGAAATCGGCAATGGAAGGGCTTGAAGCACTCGAAAACTTCTTGAACCAAGTAAATATTGCTTGAAAACTAGTTACTGTCGACTTTCAAGATTCAAACTTTACCATTTTTTGAATTTGAAATTGACAGGCGGATCATCTGCGATATCGGACTCTACAACAAATGTCTCGGATATTGACGGTGCGTCAAGCAGCAAGAGGGTTGGTTGCATTGGGCGAGTACTTCCAACGTCTTCGTGTACTAAATTCACTTTGGTCGTCTCGTCCTCATGGCATTGGTAGCTAGTTCAAAGCAACCGTCGGGTTGTATTCTTGAAACGATAAATGTAAATACAGTTTATAACAATATATATGTATGTATGTATGTATGTTTATTATGTTTGCAGTAACGAGACGGAGAATGAAATATGATATCACGATGGAATAAACGAAGTTACATAATTTATAACGAGTATCTTTCAAAGAACAACACCACTTAACCGGTTAATATCATTGGTCACAACCTCTAGCCCACAATGTATAACTCTTAAGAACCAGTACTAAGTTTACTTTTTGAGTAAAAAAGTTGATTACTAGCAATCCTAACCGGACCTATACAGAACCTGTCTCTAAAGACTGTAGACCAATGAGGGAGTGCCACATGGCACTCATGGTCTTAACCGGTTGTTGTTGGAAGGTCAAAAGTGTTCAGAGGTCTCAGGTTCAAATTCAAGAAGGAACAAAAATCGCCTTGTGGCCACGGAGGTTTAAATGCGATGATTCCGGACTACCTGCAAAACAAAACAGATGGTTGTACTGGAATTAATCGGGTCGCATAGAGGGTTGGATATTAGGTTAATAAAAAAAATTCAAGAATAAAATTTGAGAAATAAGAAAGAAGAAATCTTTTGCATCCCCAAAATTGAGGTTTTCTTTTGCTTTTACGCATCTTCGAGCTTGAAAAAGAAAAAAAAAACCGAAGTCAAGATTTCTAAATTCGATGTTTTGTTCGTAATTGATTTCTTGAAAGTGGAACTAGGGTTTTGGGAAATCGAAAGAAAGCTTGAAGAAAAATGAGCAATTTGAGGGTAATTTGTAGGCCTCATCTTGCGGTATACTCATCGATAACATGCTGTTACAATCGAGCTAGGTGTCGTCCTCGATCAGTTGTTAGGGTTTCGAATTCGATTCGAAACCCTAAGTCCTCAAAGCCTCGATTGTCTTCTTCCCGTTCTGCAGTTTTCTCTCCAGGAATTGAATCATCAGATGTTCTGAAAACGGAATCGTTGTGGGCTGGATTCAGTAATCATCAGCGGAGAATGCTAGTTAGAGCTGTTAATTGGAGTGATGAGAAATCTCCATACGATACTCTTGGTAATTGTTTATTTCCATATTCGATTACGGAATAAATTACAGAAAATTGTTCTACAAATTGCAATTGCGCTGCTTTCTGTAGTCCAAAACATGGTTTCTTACTACCAACTAACAAGTGCCAGATGAATGTGATCTTTAGTGTTATTGACTCGAAATGAGAATAGAATCATCATTGATTTCCTGTAAATCGATATGCAATTCTCTCCAATGTGCTCAAATTAACTTAAACCAATCTCAAGATGGTGAAACCTTGTTAGTGGTTGTTTAATTGTGATGGAAATACTCGTTTTTACTTTTGTTTATGATGAGTAATGTGTTTAATGTGTAATTATGCAGAGCTGGAGGGGGATGCTAATGAGGATGAAATCAAATTGGCTTATAGACGTTTAGCAAAGTATTATCACCCCGATGGTTTGCCCTTCTCTACGATTCTTATAGTTTCTAAATGATGGTTAACGTTGGCATGTTTCAGTAACGAACAGCCGTCTGATTTTGTGTTTGTAGTTTATGATGGCAGAGGGTCACTGGAGGAAGGAGAAACGGCTGAAGCTCGATTCATTAAGATTCAAGCAGCCTATGAGTTGCTGATAGATGGTGAAGAACGAAGGAAGTATGATATGGAAAACCGAGTCAACCCAATGAAGGTACTACTAAGGGCAAATTGCATGAATAACTTTGTTCTTATTTCTATTTTGGATAATGTACTTTAAAAACCTTCATTTTGTACCGACATCTCAAAGATTTAAGTACATAGGTAAACCGGTTTCAGTATTATAGTTATGTTGGTATGTGGTGCACTTTGTTAATTATTGACATTGCCAGGCTTCTCAAGCGTGGATGGAGTGGCTAATGAAAAAACGTAAGGCTTTTGATCAGCGGGGTGACATGGCTATTGCTGCTTGGGCTGAACAGCAGCAGCAGGAGTTAAATATTCGCGTACGCCGCCTCTCACGTTCTAAGGTATCATATTCGAGAATCTTTAAGCAAACTTTCCGCAGTCAGTCGAGTGCTTTTGCAGTTTAGAAACCCTGGCATCATAGTTGAGCTTTGTTTTACACCAAAATTCAGTGATTTGTTTGTTGCTACTGCTTGCTTACTACCTTTATTGATAAAAGCCATTTTGGATTAGAAAAAACAATGAGATCTTTTCTAGTGTGAAGAAAAGTATGGTAAAACACCCATCCACATGGCCTGCCTAGTTGAGGTGGCCGTAACTGTGGGTATCTGGGCGAGCTTGTGCACATCTCGACTAATCCCATAAGAGCCTGATGATAATAGGCAGGAAAATTCACCAGTGACCCTGGAGAGACTCAAACCGGCGACCTATTGGTTAATGTTGCAAACTATTGTGTTATTGTTACATTTTAGCAAGAATGATGATTAGTTTGCAACGAAAAGACATCGTCTTGAATCTCTTTGATGGAATTTTAGATCGACCCTGATGAGGAAAGAAGGATCCTTGCAAAAGAGAAGAAGGCATCCATGGAGAATTTTAACAATACTTTGAAGAGGCATACACTTGTGTTGAGAAAAAGGGATTTGATGAGAAAGAAAGCAGAGGAAGAGAAGAAAAAGCTCATTATCAGTAAGCTTCTAGCAGCCGAGGGCCTCGAGCTTGCTTCAGACGAAGATGATGCATCATCGTAGCCGATACCATGCATCCTTATTTTGTTTTTCTACAAAAATGTTTATATCATGTATACTGATTAATACAACTTGTTGCGTGTATGTACATATGGCTTATTTAAGATACAATACAAACTTTATGCATCTTTTGCAACTTCTCTAAGATTATTCATTTTGATAATTTTGGTTCTTGATTCTGATCATCATGGTTTGACCTTGAAACTGGTCAGGCTTTTAGAAACCGGTCATGGTCTGATCATCATTTCATGTAACTGGTCCTAACTGAGCCTGGTCTCGGGCTTCAGAACCACTTGCTACCTATCCTTACAATTGCTTTTAAAGTAAAGAACGCTACGAAAACAGAAAAAAGGGAGAAAAAAATGCAGTTTGGAAATGTAAATGTTTTGAGAACCAAAAAACCAAATATTCATGATGAATATACATAGATATTCACCATGAATATCATAGAGATTCATCAAGAATATCATAGAGATTCATCAAGAACATTTGATTCTCATAGTTATTAAAATATTTATGGATCTCAAAAGGGAAACCCCAAATATAGTAAGCCAACCCAATGCAATTATATGAAAAGTACACTTGATGAAACAAAAACACCAATTTATTCATTTTGAATGTTGATCCTTCCATAGCAGTATGAAGACAAATATAAAACATGAAGAAGAAAAGTATTCAAGTTATTTTATCAAGTTTCACTTTCTGACTCTTTCTCTGAATACAGCAGATTCGACAAAACGATAAAAACGGACATGAAATGATATGAGCTTGAACCCCAAAAGCAGTTTGCATAAGGGAACATGGATTATTTCTTCAAAATTTCTTCCAATAAACTTTTCGTTCAGTATTCATGCATTCATCCCCTCAATGTGACTTGAATGTTGCTCTACAAGCAGCTTGATCAGGGGAGATTCAACATCTGCATGATCATTTTCACGATATACCGAGACCTTTCCACTATTGGTGACAAGTATCACTACCTCTTTACGAGTCGAGAGTTCGTTTGCGACTACAGCATTCATTTTGTACCTTTTAAGAGCTGAATCAGCCTTCTCTAAAAGAATCTCTCTATCTGTCTCTAACTGTAACCAACAAATTATATATAACATAAATCAGACCATATCTAAATAAATTCTTAAATAAGTTCTTTGAATAAACAAACCTTGAATGATACACAGAATGCTGTGGGGGCCCACTCTTTCCGTAAAACCGAGAGCATCTTCGGGACTTGAGCAAGCCGCATATCTAATGGCCCAGATGCAGACTGGATTTTATGTACTGCCTATATATATATAATAAAATGAAGCTGTTTGAATACACAGAAGAAACTACTCTACAATATTATTAAGTTAAAACAGAAAATTGTACCATGCTCTCCCATGGAACATAGAAGTCAGATACAGCAGCCGCAAGATAAAACATACCACTTGCTCCAAGGATCTTCATCGACATTGCAATTAACCGTAAAATCTGTTCACAAATTAGTTAATGTAATGAGAAATTACTTTTCCAGTATCATGGTGATAAATTACAAAGTGAACTTCCTCGCACCAATTGCCACTGATGTGCAAGTACATGTAAAAGGCATTCATAAGCATGTAAAATTTGCTCATACTATACAAATTACTAACATATAGCCTTCAAAAGGGTAAAAACAAAAGAAAATGGATTCGATGAAGATGTATGGGTTGGATGCTCAACGATGGAATGCATGACATGAACACTAAACAGTATAAATTTCAGTAGCGAACAACTAACATTCATGCTCTAAAGCACAAATTTTCATATGGTACAACTATCAAACTATCATGCTTGCCTTTTTGTTGCAAACAAAACATAGTTTTTGTGAAAATGCAAACATAAACCACTGCACTTTGCAAGAATGAGCAATATTGGATAAATATTGCCAACTATGATGTTCTTTTTTGCATTTAGATTTTCATAATTTGTCCAAAGTCGCTCATTCTAGTGAACTATTTGTGTTTTTTTGTCATGTTCATATGAATAATGCTTGTTTGCAATAATGATTATATCTCAAAACATTCTACTTCAAGATAACTCACATCGATATATTAGGTTGACTTTGTTAAATATCCCCCAATACGTTTCACATATAATAGAAGAAATGGTCCACGTGGACTCAAAAAAGGAGGGGACCTCAAGGAATGAGAATGTGGCATCATCTGTTGGTTGGCAATTCTGTTGTTGAGGGCAGTTTGGGGATTTTCCTTTATGCTTTGGGGTGGGAGTTTAGCTATAAATAAGAGAGGGATTAGAGGGTTGATTCTTGACAGATTTTTAATAATTAATCTTGAAATTGGTGAAAGTAATGAGTAATGACATTGATGCATAATGTAGAGTCGTGCAGATCGTTGAGGATTCAAAGGGCTGAGTTTAGTGATTAATTATGCTAACCTGAAGATATTCAAAGATGGTTGTGAAGGGTAGTTTCAGCAAGAATCCTCCTGAAACAGCCTGAGATGAAATGAAATATTTACCAACATGCATATATCGAGCTACAGTAGCATTAAAAAAGAGAGATGATTCCTACTGCATGATGTCCTCTAATTGCGCTCTTAACTGCTTCAGACTGTGACTCGTGCACTGTAAGACGAACTAGATTTTATTACATAATAGGTAAAAAAAATTGTTTTTTCTTTATGATCGTAGGTGGTTCATACGGTCTATTGGAAGTCCAAAAAAAGCATCAACAAGATGATACAAGATAACAGAAAGTATGGTATGACCTTGTATACATGAATCATCAGTAAGCTCAAAACATTCGAGTAGCGGATCATCAGGAAGCGATCTACAATATGGCTGGCAGGTTCCCCTGAAGAAAGAGTATACTACATCATTGGATTATAAAAAAATGTTAGGACAAAATCGTGTTATGTTTACTAGTACATCATACTTTGTATTTTAATTCCTTTTATATGTATTCAATAAGAAATAACACTAAAGGAAAAAAAAATATTCTTAATTATCACATTATGACAGATATTTAGTGGAACAAACTTTAGTTTAGTCTAGAATGTTAAAGTGCCAAGTTTGCATGCCATCTATGCATCCGTCATGCCATGTTGAATTTTGATAACAGAATGTTTAGTTGGTCAATATTAAAAAGAGAGCTTATAGAAAAGGCCAACTGTTATCATTGTTTGTCAAATCGGAAAATTGCTAATAGTATGTTTGTCTTATTGGAAAGTAGCCCTATGTCTTAAACATCAAAATTTCTGAAGCAAACAGAAAGAAATCATATGTACATAGGCACCACATTCACCTTCTACTGAGAAAGATGACTGAATATCCAGATTTCAGAAAGTATCTGCATATCATCAACAGTTCCACGTTATCTTTAAATATTGAATTAGAACAAGGAGAAAATTCTAAATAAGTTGTAAGGTGGTATACTCGGTAGATGTTGCTCCTCTATGTCCAGAGCTGAAGTTATCAATGTACCGCACACATCGTTGCTCTAGAGGAACAGTGGTACCACCAGATGTGACACATACAATTCTTCTCGGTCCCCCACTTCCTAAAAACACATGCCAATATAACTTCACAAAATGGTGAAAGAAGATAAAGTTAAACAAAAATACATACAATTGAAGTGAACATGCTTGATAAAGAAGAGTTCTGATCGATAAATTGGCTTAATTTGCTGCTTATGCTGTTAGCTTCTTTCAGAAGAGGTGCCGAGTCAAAGAAGGATTTAACTTGCACGGATGTCATTTCATCCACAGCATCTAAGTTGGTAATTGCATCCATGGAACTGGCTAGCGAAACACTAGGATTGAGGAAAAGGTTAGGTAATATATAACAAATGGGTCAAATAAAATAGCAAAAAAGGTCATTATTTTGCAAAAAAAAAAAAAAAAAAAAAAAACTCCAACACCACTGTTCGCATAATGAAACCCATAAAGCCCAGTAACCATATGTGCACTAACAGCAATGAACAGATACACTAGAATGCGAAATTTGTTTCGTGAATTTAACAAGTAAACAGAAAAACTTGTCCAGGAATATTAATCATACAGATTAGAGCCGTTTTTCATCTAGAAAGCATAGCACAGCCTAAATACTCTAACAAACATGACGCAGACTTGTACAGAAAACATATACACAAAAACACGAACTAAATCAACAGAAGTACGTATGTTTCAAGAAAGCTCAGAGATAATGACAAATGAACTAGTACACAGACTTTTGTGTTTTTATGTACGAGTTCGTACATAATGAACACCTATGAACCAAATGACTAGCAAGATGTTAACCAAACAAGAATTGTGAAAATGTGTGTGTGTGTCCACACATGCTAGTAAGCTCACATATGCCAGCGATAAAGAGATAGAAAAGGGGAGATATCATGATTGATGGGCAGATAAAGCTCTTATGATCAGAATATTCCAGGAGCTAGAATGGTTGGATCAGACCAATTTTCAATAGGTTTTTCGGACCAATGCCTTTGATTGCCACAAAAAAGATCACTTGTTTTCAAAGTAGTACTATCTAATCAAAATTTTCCTCCTGGAATCAGTCATGCTTTCAGCTAGACATAAGAACTAAGAAGCATGAACAGTACCAAGTAGCAAATCAATTACATATACAATGTAACCTTTCTACTAGGAATAACTATACAAACTATAAGATCAAAACTACAAAATTACAACACTCAATATCATTATAGCAATGCCCTCAAGACTTTCAGTTTCTCATGAACAAGCCAAATTAATCCAATGCAAACTACAAGCAAGATCATTTTTGCAATAGCTAAAGCAAGCACCTTAACCACAATTAATTACAGTCACATTAATTCAGAGTGATCAAGCTCCCTTCAGGTAGGACAATCAACTTCTCACTTCATAACACCAAAAAAGAAGCAAGAAATAACGTGAACATGGTCCATGGAACTACTTACATACATATATGTTTATGGAAACTTTGTTAAACAGTACCTTATGAAGTCGATTCAGCTTCAGATTCAGCTCTATAATTGAGAGACGCAAGATTTGAGTACAGATCTAGATATAACGGAAAGAGAGAGAAAGATCAAATTATTGATGACGGGACAGAAGTTAATGGCCGTCAATTCCTGCCATTGTTAGGCCGATTTACAGATAATGCACATAATTAATTACTAAAATCCCAAAAGTGAAACCCTAGTTTTGCAGGTTTCAATTTGATGGAAAATTGGGGACAATAGACCAAAGATGAACCAAGAAATTTATGAAAATTGCATATCACCCCATCTAGTTATTCCACTTTTAAATATTAACCCTTAAGCTTACAAAACAGAAAATACAACCCATCTACTTTTTGTATGAACCAATGTACACCTTCTCATGAGTTTCATGCTTTCCATATATATGTTCATCGGATCGTTTGGTCCAAAACATCTGAGGAAGTAAATCCGTTTGATTTTATACGTTACCTTTTTCTGCTTATCATAACCACCTAAAATGTGTCCAATAGTTAATAGACGTCGTATGTCTTAAATGGGTTTTATTTACGACTCCCAGAATATCATATCTGAAGTTTTAGATGAGTGTTTTTGGTAAAAGTTCAAAAGTAGTGGGGCTTTTGTGTAATTTTTTGGCAACACCATACCACATAAATATTTCAAAATGAACCCCCATATTTATCATATTTCCATTAAGCACCCCTAAAACAAATGAAAGTTGCGGTTGCGGTTGAATAAGAGATTTAATTATCGCCCCCCTTTTGGTTGGAAACTATTTAACAAGATATAAATTATTTATTAAATTATGTAAATAATAACATATTTTTATTTTTAATTAAATTTTAATCGTTAATAAAACTAGCAAATTTTCAAAAATCGTTATAACGTTAGGTTGTAAGTTTTTTGACTTCAAATTACCGATAATAATCAGCTTTGAAGATATAATGGTTTCATTAATGGTTTATAAAGTTTTCTAATCAATTTAAAAAATGTATACATGTTGGTATTTATAGTAATTTTATTATCTATTGAACTGAATAAATGACTTTCATTTTAAAAGTTGCTTCAAAAAAACTTTATTTTGAAAACAATTTTTGATTTTTGAAAAAGCATAACTAAAGAGTGTAAATAATAATATCACTAAAAATATGCTAATCAAAATTGATTTAAGAATACTGACTTATTACATCAATCATCTAAACTGAAGTCATAAAACATACAATAACCTAAGAGTAACTATGACAAAACCCTACTGACAAAACTTACAATCTTAAAGATCGTATCCACAAAACTCAGTTCCAATATAAATCCCTAAAATGTTCTAATTCAACAACTGTGTTAATACAACTTCCCAAGTCAGGTTACACCATTTGGTTCGATCGATATTCCCATGTAGGAAACGAAGTTGATATGTTAGTTAGATGGAACGTGGTAGTATCTGCCTTTACAGGTACATCTATAGACAACTGGACATGACTCGGTCATTGAACACTTGAAGCTTATCATCACTCTCCTACAAGGAAAACACGGCCCGCATGCATGTGAACAGTCTGGTATGCTTGATCCCGTTGGGTATAAATCCATCCCAAGCTCAACGTTCTTTGCTCCCTACAGAATATATGTACGTCATATGATGTTCGAATACAACTTCATCACAGATTAACACTTTAGTGGTAAAGTCAGAATTTCCTTAAGAAGAATTATAAGGGTATAAAACTACGTCAGTATTCTGATGTTGTAAGTAACTAAGTGGAATACAAACCTTGGGATGCCTTTGGGCTTCACCAAGACCACCTTTTCCTTGGTAAATAACTAAGATACAAATCAAAAGCTAATTAGTGAGTGAGGGATGCAATTTAATTCAAATAACATAGAAATACTGAAAGTAAATGGAAGATATAATAACAAATTTTCAAGAATTACTACTTAATTTGCAAGTAAAGTAAATTGACGATTTTGTCCTTACAATGATGAGGATGGAGACTGTCACCAAGATTAACTGCCAAGAACATAATAGTGACAAGAAGCAGTATGTGAGAATATATGTTCTTCATCATGTTAAAGTCTTTGGCTTTGTTTTAGGGTTTTACAAAACAAACTTTTAGAGATTGAGATGAATGGGTAATATGGGTATTGAAAGTTGGTCAAAACCAAGAAGAAAAACAGTTAAGATTTGGAGGGGTTGGAGGAGCAAGCATGCACATCACTATATATATATATATATATATGTATGTATGTATGTATACATACATATATAGACACATGCAACAAGTGAAGTATGGTGCTTATAATTAATGTATAAGGGTGACATTTGATGCACTTCACATGATTCTTGGCCAAGCCCTCTTTTGAGTTTGAAGCTTTCAAAAAGTTAGTTCTCCCACAAAAATTTGAATCCAAGAAACCATGCAAATGGGTGTGAAAATGACAATTTTACCCTTATAAGTGGATCCAAATAGGTGTGAAAATGACAATTTTACCCTTATAAGTGGATCCTAGAAAGTTTTGTAGGAGTATTTTTATACCAATGTCTTGAACAGTTAGTGATCTTACTACAAATATGTTTTTTTATGGGTAAGGGACAAATAAATAATTTTAATATAAAGACTAAAATGTAGCAATTTTCAAAGACAATCCAAATGTTACAATTTTTACAAGACCAAAATAGTATTATTTTTTAGTGATAACAAACAATTGTTTTTCGTACTGAACTACAGTGAGAAATTGTTATTAAACCCTACCCCCCCCCCCCCTTCCTACTCCCTTTTTTACCCTTTATGATCTAGGATCACTTACTTTTAGTACTAATCAAGATATGTCAATCTATCTGTCATAGATGTGTTTACAAAAAAGTCGTAGATGTGTTTACAGAAGTGATTTTACTATACAAAAGATTGAGGTTTTAATATTTGATCTTTCAAACTGTTTACGACGCATTATTATAAGATTCGGTCGTACGCAGACTGAAATCGAAGATTCCCTTAAAGAATTTTCGGTTATAAATCATACAACATTTAATGCATACAATACAAGCATTATTAACTAGGGAGCACACATAATATTGGAGAGTAATTGAGGAAGTTCACGAGGACTGACACAAGATAACAGTCTTGGAGAAGAAGGGGGGTAAAGTGTAAATTTAAGGATGCCTGCCACAAACGTGAAGATGGTCAGAGTCTTTACTTTTAACTTTTTCATGGGGGTAATTTGGTAAATTCCTCTTTTCAGAAGTGATACTTTAATAACTTGTAACTTATGCTTCAGATGTTGGACTTGTCAATGATGGAATGGGTTGGAATCTTCATGTTACAATGACTTGTATTGCTAGTTGTACCTTTGTGTTTGTACTTTTTAACTTGTGTTTATCGACCATAATTAATTTTATTTATTAACTTGGATATCCAACTTGTTATGTAAGCCGACTAATCTTAGGACGACCATCTGCTTTGCAGATAGCCTAGAGTCATCGTTTTTGAACCTCCGTGGCCACAAGAGTATTTTTATTTCTCCTTGGATTTAAACCTGAGACCTCCAGATACTTTTGACCTTTGGAGCCAAACTCAAACCAATCAAGCACCACCCTTGTACTTAATTAACTTATTTTTTGAGCTTATTAAAAAAGTTTCTTTACCAAACCAAGTTTTTAAAAACTACTTCACATGTTTCAATTAACTCCAATGATTTTTTTTTTCAATTATGTCCCTTAAAGCCTTATATTTTACATATAATGACCAAAATCGTATTTACTTTTTCATTTTTTTAAAAAGATTTTAAAGTCGTGAAATGTGTCATTGTATTATAATGTTGGATGTCACCATATGTATTTTGAAACTATAATAATAGCATAAGTTTGTATCAATAGAGTTGGTTTGAACGGCTTTTCTCTCATCCCATATGTGGGTTTGAATCCCTTCTTAATCATTTTCTTAGTTTTTAGCTGTTAGCTTCATGCTTATTATGTTTCTGAAATAAATTGAGATGAAAAGCTCGAACATAAACCTCAGATACAAAAAGTAAGAAACTAACAAAAGACCAATAATGATTTTTTTTTTTTGTAAATATTCGTAGCTTCATTTCTTATAGTCAAATGGTACGATCACTCAAAAAAATTCCTAGGCCCGTCTTTGCATATGTTGTTAGAAAATTGTTGCATAAATCATAAAGAAAATCAGATTAGGATGTGTTTTGTAATCACTGCTCTTAAGATAATATTAGCCTACGAAATCATATGAAATACCAAACATCTTCAAAAGATTTCAAACTCCTGTGTTTACAGGATTTCAGTGAAATCCCATGATTTCAAATCAATGAAATCTTTCAAACCAAACATGGGGATTGAAATAGAATTCAATTCCAAATTCTTCCAAATCCAATCCAATTCCACAAACCAAGCTGACCTCAATCTTTTATTCTATTACTTGTGTGGATAAGATTCATAAATTGAAAGATTCCTGAAAATCAAACGTTTGTGAGATCACCTTCTTCTACGACCCTTCGTCTTGAACCAAATCGATATATGTTTTACGTAAATATGTTTTTGTTTTATACGGTCAATCAATGACAAAGTATATTTGTTGGTTTTTGTATATCTGTATTGATAAAAAAAAAGCATCAATAAAAGCAAATTTTAACTCATTTTCAGGTCCTCGGATGCAAAGGTCATGTCATGTCATGTAAACTTCTAATCATAGTAACATGTGGGGAAATTTATAGGAATAGTCAATCTGCTAAAAGGGTTTTACTTTTTAGTCATTTTCATACCTCATTTTACTTTGTAGTCAATCCTTACGTTGAAGCCTTACGTACATTGGTTTTTGACAACAAAAAAAATTGGAATCTTTACACAGAAAGTGAAATTCTACCGTAAGAATTGGCTAAAAACTAAATTAAGGTCTGAAAATGGTTATAAAATAAAAGGAGCTTGACAGGTAGGCTATTTTTCGTAAGTTTCCCTAACATGTCATAAAGAATACGAACCATTGGTAATAATATTATAAATATGATATGGAATGCAAACCCATAAAGTCAAAATAATTAGAAAGCTCTTTTACTTTGTTACGACTTATTTTAATATGATAAAATATATAACTGACTTATTTCAATTATATTATGTAATGTTATAATTGAGTAATCACTACACCAAAATTGGGTTTATAAGATGCCATCAATTTGTAGGTGTCTTGTTTTAGAAGAGTTTCTAAGTGTCTTTATAGACTGTTTTATAAGCGTCTTATCTAAATGCGTTGTAACAAGTTTATAGAGCGTTTTTGGGTGTTTTATGAAAAACTCCAGACACTTTTAATACAAAAAAGTGCCGCATTAGCTATTCTATATGATACTTTTGAGAAGTGTCCTATAAACTCATCTTTTTATACGACACTTTTTTTTATAAAAAGTGTCCAACAAAATAGCTAATACGATATTTTTTTTAAATGTTATAAAAAACTTGTTATGATGCCCAAAAACTTCTTATAAATTCATGACAACTTGGTTATTAGGATGCGTAGAATTTTTTGACGTCCTATAGACCTGATTTTATTGTAGTGAATTTTTCAACATAATATTTTGAGCAAAAAATTGCCTTAAATCCACATTTTTCTTCATATTAAAGAATCTGTTAAAGATGCTCTAATGCTTACTTTCTCAAAAATAAATGAACAAATATTTAATTTTAGTACTAAGTAAAATTACCCATTTTAGTACTAAGTAAAATTACCCATTTTTTTTAAATCAAAAATATGTTAAATATTTAAATTAAACAAATTATATTAAATAGCAAGTATTTTAATATTTTTAATGTAACATCCATATTGTTATCCCTTTTTATTATGTATTTCCTATGTACTAGAACTTTTTATTGTATGCATTATGAATGCATTTCCTTTTTGGATTTATTAAAGTTATGATTATATAGTTATTGTATTGAGTTTCATTAGGTACAAATTGGATAAACCTCACTGCACAACACCACATTTTGCGGTTTGACATGTATATGGTACAATATAGAAAAATTGATCAAACCATACATGCGATACGGATTGCAGTCTGGCCCCAAACTGCATTAATCACCCGTGCATAGTACAATTTCATTTGATTGGGAACATAAAAGTTCTTAAATGAAGTATAACCGATGATCGTCACCTCCACCCACCACACCTCCCCTCCCCCCTTTTGGCCTTTACACCGTCGCCCCTTCCACTTATACCGACATAAACCTTCTCTGTCTCTTTTCTCTCCAACCAGTTTCAGTTGACCTTCACCATCGCTTTTTTTTTAATAATGAAGTTATTATTATTATTATTATGAAATAAACATAAATAAAAGTATTCAGTTTTTAGGGCTTTGTGGTTGGATTTAGTATAAATGACATTGGCTGAAAATATAAATACTATTCTTTGAAAAGTTATATGAAAGATTAAAAGGCGGAAATAGAACTTGTAAGAGCATCTACAACATATCTGTTATAATTAAAAATATACAATTTAGGGATTTACAGTTGATGTTTTATTTGAACAGATTTTTCCAAACCGATATCTAAAATAAAGAGCAACCTCGAAAAACATTATTCCAAATAAATCAAAAGTTCTTTTTTCAAAATCTTTTGAAGATCTGACATCCACGATGAAAGTTCTTGTTGAGGTTTTTATAAGAACCTCCGTTATGAGATAGAGATTTTAATAAGACTTGAACTAGAACCCAGGTTATTGTTTACATTCTTTTTTTATTATTATTTTTTTTAATTATTTTTGTTTCAGTACATATAAATTAAAAGTGATATAAAAATATATAATAATTATTATAAAATATATTTATTATTTTTTTTATTTTTTTTTCCTTGTGTTCCACAATATCCTTAAATTGTTCAAATGTCGTTCAATCTTCAACTTCTAATACTCGTCATCCTATTAACAAATTAAATTTAACATAGAAAAGTTAAAACTAATAAATTATATTTGAATTTTTTTAATAATTGTATAATAGATATAATATATATAGAGGCTTAATTTTTTGAGAACCTCACAAATTGTGAGATATGGGAGATCTAATATAAGGCACTCATTGTAGTTAAATTGTTTTATGATTTAATTAATAATAGGGGGTGACTTGGTAATTTTATAAAAGGAAACAAATAATACATTTGAGATAATCCTTTTTCTAAGAGACCTGCGACTTCTTTTGGCTAC